TTCGGCGCGGCGCGGCAGGTCGTCGTGATCAAGGGCACGAGCACGGCCGACGACGTGCTCACGAACCTCGAGTGCTCGCTCGCGGACCTCGGCGGCACGGGCTGGGTCGTCCACGGCGGCTTCGCGAAGGTCGCCGCCGGCGTCCTGGAGGCGCTGCGCCCCGTCCTCGACCTCGACGGCGGCGCGGAGCTCGAGCTCGTCGGCCACTCGCTCGGCGGCGCGGTGGCGACGCTCATCGGGTTGGCGCTCGCGGCCGAGGGGTCGCCGCCGGCGTCCGTCGTCGCCTTCGGCTGCCCGCGGATCGGCTACGCGGCGACGCCCGCGGGCCGCGCGCTCGCGGACGCCCTGCCGCTCACGCGCGTGAACACGCTCGACGACCCCGTGCCGTCGCTGCCGCCCGCGTTCCTGGCGACGACCCTGGGCGGCGCCGCGCCCTTTGGCCACGTGAGAGACGAGCAGCTCGTGCTCTGCGGCGGCACCTACGCGTTCCTGGGCTCGGAGACGGCCGCGCAGGCCGCGCGCGCGCCCGCGCGCGACGGCTGCGCGGACGCGCTCGTCTACGCGACGGAGGGCTCCTTCGCCAACGCCGCGTACCTCCGGCCCCACTCCATGCCCGTCTACATCGCCGAGCTCGCGGGCCTCGCCGCGGCCGCGTCGCGCGACGCGGACGCGGCTCGGGCGAGCGACGTGTTCCTGGACGTGGTCGGGTATACTTAGGAAGTCGCATCAAGTTGAGGACCCTACAGTTGATGGCTTATGTGTTCAGGCGGCGGATTGGTAGGCGGCGGCGAAGCCCGTCGTTGCGACGTTCTTGATGGTGAGCTTGTAGTCGAGGAGGAAGTCGCCGGCGACCTCCCAGACGAAGTGCTTCGCGCGCCACGTCGTGTCGGCCTCGCGCTGGAAGAACCAGTCGACGCAGGTGTAGGCGCACCGGGCGGCGCGAAGGGCGTGGAGGGCGTCGAAGACGGCGACCTCGGGCTGCTCGAGGCCGAGGGCGACGCGCGCCTCCCGGCGGAGGCGCCGCGTCTCCGCGCGGAGGTCGTCGTCGACGAGCTTGAGCGCGGCGTCGAGGCCGTCGGCGAGCGCGGCGTCCTTCTTCGCGGCCTCCGTGGCCTCGAGGCGGCGCTGCTCCGCGCTCTTGAGCGCGTCCCGAGTGCCGTTGTTCCAGCGCTTCTCCGTCTCTCTCGCGAGGTCGACGAGGTCCTTGGGCCCGTCGAGGAGGACGAGGGCCGGGTCGCGCGCCGGCTCGGGCAGCTCCCTACGGACGCGCTCGACGAGGCCCGGGACGAGCCTGCGGAGGTCGTCGAAGAGGACGCCGACGACGGACTTCGAGGCGCGCGCCTTGGCCGGGTCGTGGCTCCAGCCGTCCGCGAGCGGGTCCTGCGCGGCCTCGGAGCGGTACATGAAGTGGGGCGTCTCGAGGCCGCGGGTCTCGGGCTGCCTCGGCGGGTGCTGGGCCGGTCGACCA